GAACCAATTTCCTCCTCTGCCAGGAAGCCTTTCCTATGCTTCTCACAATGTCTGAGGCTGCTCCCACCGTGTGCTGAGCAGGGCAGCCACGTGGGAGATGGCCAGAGCGTTCACCTCCAGAGGAGGGACATATATGGACCTGCCTGGGCCACAGGGAGCAGATCCAGGTGGGCAGTGGCATAAGTCTTCTTATTCCTGGCTCTGGCTCTGTCCAACAGACTACGATGCTGCTTCTGTTCTGGAAAGCTTTTCTGGCACAAAGGTGCCCCTCATCTTCTTCCAGCTCTAAGTAGATTAGTTAGTTACAAGGCAGGAAGTTGAATAGCTTCAGGCTTTAGTCTCCTGGTTATTCTGGGGCTGTTTGATGTTAGCCCTTCTTTCAGACCCGGGCTTTGAAAAGAGCTTATTCTTTTTCTGGGACAGAGAAAATGACCAGGACACAGCAATATTTTAAGTTCCAAGGACCCTCACATCTGTTTGCTTTCATGCATTCTGTGTACAAATATATATGACGATTAAAAATTTTTTTTCTTTCTTTATTCTCGCTCTCTCTTTAATGTATTTTTGTTTCTTCTGTTCCCTCTTAGCTCATTTTTATTCCATTAGGTTATAATTGGGTTGATACTTCAAGTATGCTTATTTGGCCTGAGGGGCAAATACAGGATTAAAAACACAGGCAGAGCCTGAGAGCCACCATAATTGTTTACTTATTTACTACTTAACACATAATATCAGGCTTGTTACTGTACTTCCCAGCAGCTGGAGTGATATATCCTCAACCTCTACCATAAAACTTACTGCTTGCTGCCTAATGGGCAAATCCAGTCTCAACTGTAGAATCTTAAAAAAAAAAAAAAAAAAAAAAGTGCACATTTAATGCTTTGAGGAGTATCCAACTAAAGTAATAAAATATTACTTAGGACGAATTCTTAGGGGATCTATTTTACTAAAAAGAGAACAAACAACTTCATAATCGGCATGTCAATTGTACTTAAATGGTTTATCAAAGAAAATCACGACATTAAAAACTTCATGCTTTTACTTGTTTTACAAGTTAAGTTTTATATAATTCATTTGCTTAGTAAATTCCTTTTTCATCCATAATACAAAAATAAAAATCAGTTCTGTTTCTATCCACATCATATTTAGTTTGATTATAAATGTAATTGTGTCATTAGTTCCTGTGTGTGTACTGTACCCATTGTCAATCAAGGTTGCCTTTACTAATAGGTATAATGGTATTTTTGCAGGTGATCACACTGTGCTGGATATCAATTGAATCTTTTTGTTGTCCACAAAAGATACATTCAGCCCTAGGACCTTAGCTTGGCTGACTAGAGGCCGTAGAATGTGTCGCTCACCCAAACTTGACTTTGATATTGCTTTTTCTAGAGATGATGGGTTTAGTATAGTTCTGAGTTTGATCACCTCTGTTGTGTGACATTTCCCTTGGACTTTCAGAGAGTGCCAATCTTTGTTCAGTGGGGGCCCAGCCTGTCACTCTGTGGCTCAAATCGGAATAAGACATTTTAGAAGGAGAAGGAAGAAAAACCACACAAGGGTGAGGATTCAGAAAAGAAGGAGTAACTTGTGGGTTTGGGGTAACGTACCTGCCTTGGTGTGTTCTAGGGGAACCTTGAAAATCCACCACAAAAGCGTGTTTCCCCAAAGCCTCCAAATAAGCCTCAAAGCACAATCAATTTCCCTCTTATCCAGAGAGAATAGTATATCTTTCTCAGGAGGCAGCATATGGGAGCTGCTGGGAAGGCCTTCCAGTCCAATTAAAAGGCAGATAGATCAGAGAACACAGGACTCCTGAAGCTGTCTGATCTTTTGCCTATGATTCGTCTCAAGTGCAATTGACAGCCCCGACTTGCAATTATGATGAAGAGACTGGTATAGCTGGAGACTGGTCCAACAGAGAGGGAAGGTTTGACCATTTACATGCAGTTAATTATTAAGGGCTGTCAGATGTCAGAATGGGAATTGGTAATACTGTGGTTAAACGCCCACCACATGTCTAATTTGAGTTGTGCCCACTACCTCCAGCACCACTTCAAATTAAGTCCACATTAATGTCTGATGACTCACAGCTGTGCAGCATACCGCTCTGTGAGCTCCGGGGGTAGGAGGGAGGATTTGCATATCAGCTAGTGCCAGATAACGATCATAAAAGATGTGCATCTCTCTTTGTTGGAATAGGCACTGTATAAGCCAAAACCATCGCTATTATTATTATTTAAAACCATCATCATGCTTAAGACAAAGTTGATCTGTAAATTAGCTTCTCGTTGCAATTAATCCAGTTTCAAAAAGGCAATTCCAGGGGAAACAATATACATGTTGTCAGTGGGTGCTAAATAGGCCCCAAAGAGATCAGAGTACGGCCAAATGAGAAATGAAGTGAGCCTGTCTCTATAATAATGAGAGTTTATATTGGGGCTGCCAAAATACTCTTTTATTTTTTGGACGATGATAGTTTTGAATGTACTGTTCCAAGTCAGCCCCTGAGTGGCGGCCTTGGTGCCCACCTGCCCAGCATTTGGTTAAGGGAGTTCTCTGGGGGTCTTCCACTGTGCCAGTGATCTCACAGCAGGCTTCCACCCATCCAGACAGGCAGACAGCAGGTGTCACTCGGCTCAGAGAGGCACTCTGATGGTGTCCATGGACTTTGGAAGCTTTGAGAGTGATGGCTGATTTCCAGAAATCCAGAGGGCTGTATGGGGAACCCCTCATGCAGAAATATTTTGGGGTCCTAGGCATACATATGGTTTTGTGATATGTGGTCAGTGGTAAGCGGGAGGGAATGGAACTTGGTGGTGGCAGCAGGAAGCCATGGGGGCTTGTTGGCATTCCTGCCCTTGGCCATTCCATGGGCTGGCTTGCAAGCAATGCCCAGTTTAGAGCAAAGCTAGGGTTAGGCACTCTTTCTTAAGAAAAATAAGCACTTCTGAGAAGACCAAAGTGTAAATCCTTTATTTACAAAAAGGATGGTATAGGCTCTTTACTTTAATCGGAAACCATACCGTCTCACCATTTATACTCAGATCAGCATGAGATCATTTCATAGAAACAAACCAAAGCTTAAAAAGAAAATCATGCCCACTCTTGGTACCAGAGGTGTTTTGGTTTCTGTTTTGTTTGACTAAAAACCAAAAACGTATTTTGAAAGAGAGATTAGGGCAAAATAGAACACTGACAAGATTTAAGCATCTTCAACACTGACCAAAGAAGCATTTAGGAAACCCAAGTGGATGTGAGTGTGTCACATGCTTGAGTTTGCGCTAAACAGACAGCAGGAGCTGTGGAACAGAGACCTCACTTGGGGCCAAGAGACTATCTGACTGTTTCCATTGCAGTGCCTAAAAAAAGCCTGCATGGTGAAGGGGGGTGGTGGTCCTTTAAGCGGGAGCAGGGGCCAAGGGCAGGCCACAGCCTGGTCACTCTGGCTAGTGTTCTCTTTCTGTCCTCCAAGAGGGCGATTAGGAAGCCCAAACATAACGATCTGTTATGGACGGAGATCACAGTGTCTGCGGTTTCCAGAAGCTGCTGCTGACATTGTCTTGACAAGAACTCCAGCTCTGGGGTCACTTGAGTTGGAGCTGTGGGCTTTGTGTCCTGAGAAAACTCCAGACCCAGGAACTGGGGGGCATAAGGCAGAGTGTGAGGTTGCTTCCTTTCATCAGGTTTTTGTGTCTGAGCTGGACTGGTGCTGTTCTGTTCATTACTTATTTAAAGCGGAGTTATTTTCTGCGGGTGCCCAGAGACTTGGTCGTGACTGTGGAAACTGCAATGCTCCCTAAATAACAGCCAGGCGTAATGGCTGTACAGTAATAATTCTGCCATTGGGGGCCTTTCTGAACTCTACTGCGGGTGGTATGACTAACGCTTTTATGATGGCGCATCTGTTTGCAAGGTCTTTTTTGTTTTTGGTCTAGTCCTCTGATTCCTGTTTTCAGAAACAATGAATAGCCCCACATTTCTGCTTTGATTTCAGTTTCTCTACATTTCAAAAGCATAAGTTCGATGAGTTTTTCTATAGCCAATGTCACACGTCCTAAAGGGCTGGGTGGTAAGTGCCGTCAAAAGATTGGGATAGAAATTACATTTGTGTCGTAAGGTCTACCAGGTCTTATGAAAAGGGTTTCGCGCCTGAGAAAGTATAAATATTCTCTCAAGATGATACAAGCTGATGCTTCCACGAAGGGAAAAGGTGGTCTCCAGGAGACGCAGAATGTTCCAGTCAGGTTTGCTCTGTCTGCTCGATGTGATTCTAGCCCGGGTGGGAACTAGTTCTCTGGTCCTGAAGAATGAAGTCTGCTGAGGCACTGTTGGAGTTACATTCCCTCGTGGGTAGAGACGGAGCCCAGGTCTCACCATTCCCTCCTTTACTAGTTGGATGGCCTGGAGTAAGTTCCTTTTAACTCTTTAGCATCTCAGTAACTTCACTGGCGAAGTAGGGGAAATAATAACACCTTCGTAAGTTTGTTACGAGAAACAAGTGACACAGTACATATAAAGCTCTAGCCCAGTACCAAACACACGGCAAGATCTCAACTCATGTGCCCTATTTTCTTCTTTTTTTCTATGACTTCACATTCCAGGTATCTTAATGACCATATCTTTCATTTTAGTTATTACACAACAGTTTTCATACAGATGGTTTTTGATAATGTACTTCTTAATTTTTTCGCACACAGGACATTTTTGATGATTTATATAACTACCTGTTTCATATCTGTCTTCTCCTTAGAATATACTAGCTCTTGGAAGACAGGGGCCATGCCCACCTCGTTCACTTCAGTATCCTTGGTGCCTCGCATCACCTGGCATAGAGGACACACTCAACATTTGTTGGATAAATACATTAACCCTTATGAACACCCAGACTCACACGTGATGGGGGAGAGGGAGTCCCATTGGCAAGGTAGGTAGTTGGTGGGCAAAAGTTTGTATCTGTCCATTCTATAGTTTTTCAGTAGCTGTGATTTCCCTGGCAGGATTTCCCTGGCATGGCCTCGTCCAGGACTTGGATACCTGACGTGAGATCAGGTTGGATGAGAGAGGAGAGCAATAGTGTAAAGTCTGTTAAACCAGAAGCCTTATAATTTCTACTTGAGAAAACTTGGGACAAATTCACCATGAACCGTAAGTATCAGCCTCATCTGGTCATGTCTCCTTTAGGCTCCACCTCTGCTGAATTCTCTCTCATGTCAGGTTCTGTGAATGTATTTCCTTTAGCTTTTCTATCCTCCACTGTTACACTCTCCCTCCTTTGCCTGCCTGATTCTTCTTTATTCAGATCTCAGCCTAGAGACTACTTTATGTACTATATAAATTTAGGTTAGATCCTGGTTTAAGTGCTTCCAAATCTTGTATTTCACCATCAGTAAATGTTCAGTGAATGTTATCATGTTACATTGTAATTTCCTTATTTCTCTGTGTCACTCTCAAACCCATCCTAAGAGGGCAAAAAAACTATCAGGACCCAGCACAAGGCCTAGCATAAAATAGATGCTCAAAAAATATTTGTTGACTGAAAGTAGAAAGTAGAAAGGAAAAGTCCCATATAATCTCCTCTCCCGCCCTGAAAACCACTTTTATTATTGACAAGGCAGGTCAAATCACCAACTTAAAGACAGTGTAGCTGGGTGGGTCACCTAGACACTTACTATACAGATATATGAAGATTAGAGGAAATATTTTAAAATAATTTAAGACAGCAGGCTTTTGATTCCATTTGCAAAATAAGCCCCTTACCGACCTTCACCGTTGTGGACTGGCTTTTTGAAAATGAGATGAACGAAGTTGGTTTGCCTGTCTTGAATTCCTTATTGCGCCTACATTGATTATTTGGGTTTCCGGTGTCTCCATCACTTTGGCTCCATTTATGAAAGGAAATGAGCCACACCCTCTGGGATATCTACATCTTTCTCTGGTCTCCAGCCCAGGTGGGCAGCACAACACACGTGCACCAGGTCTTAGAAAGGGTATTTCGGAGCCTTTCAGTTAAATGAAGTGTGAGAACTTCCAGGGTTTCTGGGATCTAAGCAACCAGGAACAATTCCTCACTGTTTTCAACTAAGACAAACAGAAAAAAAAAAAAAGTAGGGGAGGAGGAAAAAACTCTGGTCTCTGATAAATAACCTTTCCATGTGAAGTGCACATCAGTCTGACATAAGTAATTAGCTGTCAGGTGCTGGGCTTTGCTGTCAGAGGCCAATTTTCAGATTAGTGTTAATTGCAGGGCCCCCCCCCATGGCCTTTGCTCCCGCCCCCTCACCCCTTCAGTGGACTGCCTTCCCCAGCTTGCTGCCAGTTTGACTGGAGCCTGGGGTCATGGATCTGGCAGTGTGGAATCAATTACTGGCCAATGAAGATTTTCCCACAGGTCTGGGCTTGGGAGAGGAGGGCTATTCCTGCTGCCTAGACAGCTGGCCTGACTGTCCACTGGGAAAGGAGCCTGCAGAGGGAGAGAGGGGCCACGCTCAGTGATCAACCGCCGACAGCCCATACGTTATTGACGGGGTTTCGCGGAGGTGCCGTTGCTACTTCTGCTGGCCCTCTCTCTCTCAGGGTTTTGTGTCTGCACTGACTACTGGTTTATCCCGACATCTTGCTGTCCCGAGGAAAGCACAGACCCAGAAATATTCCAATCCAATATGTTAATGGGTCTCAACTCAAGAGGAAAAAGAAAAATGAAGATGGCATGGTGTTATTATAGTCTAATGGCAACATTTGGACATGTTATTTGAGCAATTAAAACAATTTAAAACTTTTTAATTATTAGGGTTGTGATTTGTATAATTTTGGTTCAGCTGGGGTTCCCACATATGATTCATAATAAGACCTCGATTTTATTGTCACTTCCAAAATTTCAAGTCATTTTGAACTTCAGTCAACATAGCATGCATTTTGGGACTGCATTTTGAAAATCTACCCCCAATGTTTTCTGCTTAGTAATAATAATAAAATCTACATAAAGATGTTTTGCTCTCAGTTACCTACTGTGGTCTATGTCTTTGGCTGAAATTTTGAGCAAGAGAACCATTTGGATGCTGGAAAACTGTGCCTTATCTTTTTTCTTCTGCCTATGATTCTTTATTATGCGTGTTAATTCAAACAAATACTCCAACATCGTTTTAGCAGTATTTTTGATCTTTCGAAAGCCAAGAGTTTATATTAGATAATGTGCCCAAATCCATTTGTCAATGATGTATACATTTCAGAGAAATTTTGGTTTTTGAAAGATGCATTTAACTCTTCAACTTATCATTAAAAGGAATTAAAACAAGTACACTGAAAGAGTGATATAAACACTAGTGCCACACTATAAAAAATGAAAATATTTATACATAAAAATGTTTTCTTAATAACATCTTATTTGATTTCCCTTTTATCGTTTTTCTTTTTCTTATAGGAAACTAACTTTCAGACTGAATTCTCTCTCTCTGTTTTGTATTTAAAACTTCTATGGATCTTAGAGGGAGTTTAGCTGCATAATTGAAATAGTCTTTTATTAAAATGACTCAGTTCAAGATTAAACAATAATCCTGTTTATTAATAAATGAGCATGGGTCAGAAAAGTCAAAAAAAGATGTGAGATGTTGCAGTTAAACAGGTCTATGCTCCTTGGGTGACAACTTTCAGACACTAGGCCTAAAAGGTCTCTTGGAAACATAAAAATTGGGAGGAGAAATACAAGTCTGAGATCCACTTGGCCATACATCCTGTAATCCAAGGAACAGGATCATGGGAGAACTCCCTTTTCTCCCGATCAGGATGAGTGGGTCCCTGCTCTTTGCCCTGGAGGAAGACTGGAGGAGGGGGCATAGGAGGTAGAGTTAGGAACCCAGAACCCTCCCTCCTATTCTGAGCATGGAGCTGATGTTGGAGGGCTAACAGGTGACTTCTATTAAACCACACCTGTGACAACATTGAAGGATCCTAAATTCCACAATGAAGGGTTTGTGAGCAAAGTCTTATTGTGCAACGTCCTGGTTAACTTCTATGAAATCTTGAGTCCCTGGTAACTGAAATTGACAGTGATGTCAACACTTGTTTTTTAAGAGCCACTACTAAATTATTCTGCCTGATTTTCAGCATGGAGCAGTGTTGTATTAATTAGGATATTTTCCTATTTTATTTTTATCTTCAAAATCCAGCACATGGAAGGCTATCAACAAATGTTTGGTAAATCTTTTAAAAAAGAGGGAAGCTGGGAGGGATAAATTGGGAGATTGGGATTGACATATACACACTACCATATATGAAACAGATAACTAATAAGGACCTACTGTACAGCACAGGGAACTCTACTCAATACTCCGTAATGACCTCTATGGGAAAAAAAAATCTAAAAAAGAGTGAATATATGGATATGCATAACTGATTCACTTTGCTGTATAGCAGAAACTAACACAACATTGTAAATCAACTATACTTCAATAAAAATTAATTTTAAAAAAAGAGGGAGAAAGAGTGGAGTGAGAGGACAAAATGACATCAGAAGGTAGAACTCACATGCTCAAGAATTATGGAACGCTGCAATAACTGCATGTGTAGAGTAAGTCATCATCAAGATTGAGTGTCTTCATGGTCCTTGTACTCCTAGTACTGCCATTAGACATAGACACGGAACTTAAGCCTAGCTCAGAAAGATCCATCACAGATGTAGTGATTCAAAAAAATAATAATAATAAAGTTAACCATCAGTTGTATAACTAATTATGATTTGTTTCTATGACTTTGTGAGACTTTTCATATAAATTGAATGGGTACAAAGTACTCCATGACCTTAAGACTCAAGAAATATCACATTTATTTTCATGATTGAGTTAAAATAAATAGATGAAGTTTAGCCCTATAACAATCTAGTTGGACTTACCTCCAGTTTCAGTTATTGTTTTAGGGTTCTCACTTTCTCTTCTTGAGATCTTACAAGGTTCCTAGGGCTTTTGCAATCCAGGGAAGAAATGGGGAAAGGCCTCTAGTGTTCAGCTTAACATGCTTGCTGAAGAGAAGCTCATAACTGAAGTTCCTTCATCTTCTCAAAGGAAAATGACTCCATCAGTGTGAGGCCAAGGGAGAGTCTCAGACATTACTCACAGCCCCCAAAGCCACAGAGTTTGGTATTGGAGTCTCAGACACTTATCTACTCTGTGAGAGGGCCTGCCACCTCCTGCCACCTCCTGGGAGCAATGTTTGAGGTGGGCCCAGAGCCCATCAAGCTACTCATTGGACAACTTTTTTAAATTTCAAATGATGGGGTGATATTAAGAGACATCTCCACCCCCCCCCCACACCCTTTCTGGGATCAAGCGCTGTTACTTACGGAAAACACACTAACCTCTTCCTCAGAAGAGGAGGTAAAGTCCTTGAGTGATGTTTATTCTTCTTGATATCCTGTAACTTAAACAGTATGATGTAAAGTCAACACTACTCAAATACTATGATATAAAGTCAATACATCTTATGTTTCAAGATAAAGGGATAAAAGAGAGAAAAAAACCCCAAAGGTATGTATACATATTCATAACAAAACAAGGAGGAAATACTCATGAAAATTACAGTCCTCATTTCTGAAACTGGTCACCTAGTCATGCTGGTGTTTATTAACTACCTTCTTCTACTCCCCATTCTGTATTCTCTTTACCTTCAGCAAGCACCTTGGTTGGTCATGGTTCTTTACGAGGTAGAGTGACCCAAACCTTCATTCATGATGGTTCTGGGCCAGTAGTAGTCTCGCCTGGGTTGGGCTGTTGTAGTTTTCCATTGACTTTAATCACAGGGCAAGATAATACTAAGAGAAGTCCCAGGGGATCTCTTATATTCCAGATATACTCTTCCTCACCTCCGTTGTGGAGTAGCAGTCCCCTTTCCTCTTAGTGGCCAGGATCAGTCACACCAGCCAGCACACTAACTCCCTTCTTTGCCTGTTGATTCGGAGGCACAAGGAGCCCAAAGTGGTGGGGCTGCAGTCTTAACTTCCAGTTCAATAAAATCATTGTTGTGTCTCCTGGCGGAAGCATTCTTCCCTTTAGAGCTGAAACCTATAGGCCAGCAGAGCCTAAGGCCATGGGAACAGGAAGCAAATATTTGGCTAGTGGGTCATTAGGGGTAAGAGTGAGTGGTGTTACTCCCAGTTCCACCCTCTGCTTCTTGGACCCATGAATCCTGGCTATGGGACAGAACAACATACCCGGTGTTGATTCTGAGCACACACAGCCTCCTGCAGAGCCTCGCCCCAGCCCTACAAGTTACTGCTACCTAGCTGGTGCTGTAACTGAGTCTTCAAAAGGCCCTTCCACTGTGTCTGGGCCTGCTCGGCCCTGTCACATGTACACCACTTCCATTCGGTGATGGAGCGCTGCTGTGCATGCCCAATTTGATGGCTGAATGGGTCAGATAACACCCAGTTCACAATGGGCAGCTCAGGTTGCCTGGTAACTTGGTGGCCCATGGTTAAGCATTGAGTCTCCATGAAGGCCCAGTAGGAGGCCAAGATCCGTTTCTCCAAAGGAGAGTAGTTATCTGCAGAGGGTGGCAGGGATTTGCTCCAAAATCCTAAGGACCTGCACTGAGATTCACCTGTAGGGGCCTCCCAAGGGCCCTAAACAGCATCCTATCTGCCGCTGACATTTCAAGCACCATTGGATCTGCCGATTCATATGGCCCAAGTGGCAGGGCAACTTGCACAATGGCCTGGACCTTTTGTAGAGCCTTCTCTTGTTCCGGACCCCACTCAAAAGTAAGACATTTTTGGATCACTTGGTAAGGGGGCTAGAGTAATACACTCAAATGGGGGGAATATGCTGCCTCCAAATCCCAAGAGCCCCACGAGACGTTGTACCTCCTTTTTGGTTGGAGGAGGGACCAGATGCAGCCACTTATCCTTCACCTTAGAACGGATATCTTGACATGCCCACACCACTAGACCCTTAAGAATTTCACTGAGGCGGAAGGCCCTTGAACTTTTGTCTAATTATTTCCTACCCTCTGACACACAAATGTCTAACCCATAAGTCTTAGAGTAGTGGCTACATCTTGCTCACTAGGTCCAGTCAGCATAATTTCATCAATACAATGAGCCAATGTGTATCTTGAGGAAGGGAGATCCCTGTGAACTAGATTGTGGCATAGGGCTGGAGAGTTGATACGACCCTGAGGTGGGACAGTGAAGGTGTACTGCTAGCCTTACCAGATAAAAGCAGATTGCTTTTGGTGGGCCTTATGGACAGGTATAGAGGGAAAAGAACTTACCAGGTCAATAGCTGCATACTAGATACCAGGGGATATGTTAATTAGCTTAAGCAATGAAACCATATCTCTTACAGCAGCTGCAATCGCCTGGAGTCATCGCCTGGTTGAGCTTATTATAATCAACAGTTACTGTCCAAGATCCATCTGTCTTCTGCATTGGTCAGACAGGTGAGTTGCATGGGGATGTGGTGGAAATTGTTACCCTCTTATCTTTCAAGTCCTTAATGGTGGCACTAATTTCTACAATCCCTCCAGTAATGTGGCATTGCTTTTTGTTTACTATTTTCCTAGGTAGAGGCTGTACTAGTGGCTTCCATTTGCATTTCACACTATTATAGCCCACAGATCAGGGAACCAATGTGAGGATTCTGCTAGCAGCTAAGTGTGACTATTCCAGTTATGCATTCCAGAACTCAGGAAATAACCAAGGATGGGTTCAGGGACACACCAGGCCCACTGTGAGACAGACCTGAGCTAACATTCCATCAACCACCTGACCTCCCTAAGCTCCTATTCTGACTGGTGTACCACAGTGACATTTTGGGTCTCTTGGAATTAGTGTCAGTTCAGAGCCAGTGTATAGTTCCTGAAAGTTCTGATTATTTCCTTTTCCTCAATGCAGAGTAATCCTGATAAGACTGTAGATCCCTTTGGGGAAGGCTGGGAGAAAGATGAACAGTATTCATTCTGGGCAGTGTACTGTGGTCCTTTCTTAAGGGGACCTGACCTCTCTTCATTCAAGGGATTCTGGGTCTGTATACTGGCTCAAGTCTTGGAACTGATTGAGGGCTGTGACCCTCGGTTTTTATGATTCAGGTTAGACTTTTGTTTACTTGACTAGAACTGTTCTGCTTACATGGATTGAGGAAGAATTTGGTAGGCTTATGTGTTAGTTAGGGTTCTCCAGAAAAACAGAACCAATAGGGCAGTGTGGTCACATGGAGAGAGGGTCTTAAGCACATCATGGAGATACCCTTGGCTTGCATGTGACATGCATGCTGGGCGTGAGGGAGTCCACATGGGGCCCGCTGTGGGAGGGTGAGATGGCCGTGCAGCAAAGACTGGGTAGGGCCAGGGACTGCAGGGCTGGAGGACCAGATGGAGGATGGGGCAGAAACTCAGAGGGGTCAATCACCAATGAAAGCCAAGGGGAGGACAAGTCAGCAGGGAGAGGCCCCATGCCCTGAATGGGCTGATCAAGAATAGACTGAGAGTTTATCAGCTGCAGGATGCTAGCGACAGACACCAGCTGAATGCTCAGGGACCACTCAAGCCAAAGATTCCCCAGTGGAGTTCAGAAGAGCCAGTCTGCAGCTGGTCCAGAGAACAGCAGGCCAGTCCTCAGACCCAGACCCCGGCCTCCATGAGGTCATTGGGCTGCTCGGAACACCTAGCCACCTTCTGGAGAGGATTGAGGGAGGAGAAGTATAAAGGGAGAGGCTGAGCATCCCCTAATGAACTGTCTAAGTGTATGGCATTGGATTAAAGCTTAAGACAGAGATTTAGTTGTTGTTTTCTCACAGCCTAGCTGGTAGGCCCAAATCAAATCAAATGCAGAGCAAAAAATAAGCTAATTTTCTCTGCATATCTGAGTTGCAGCGTGAGTACATCTGCAGTCCCTCTATGCCTGTGACTGTTTTCTCTCAGTAACTGAAATCCTCTAAGCCGTGATCAGACACATCCACGTTGGTTGGGAAAGGAGGGAGCACTGCTGTGGGACCGTGAGCATGGCCTTCACCTCTCGGGGCCCCTCTTTCCCCATTTGTAAAATGACAGCACGGGTTAAGATGTTCTGTAATGGTTTTTCCACCCCCAAAATTCTATAAACAAATAAGAAAAGAAAAATATGTTCATGGTACTCTGTGGACTATGCTAGTGCTTTTCAAACCTTTGCACCACAGTTTTCTAGTGGCAGAGAAGAGAGAGCTTGCACCTCCCAGGATCGTCCTGGGTGTGGCTTAGAGTAGCCTGCTGAGGTGTTGCCAGAAAATTCCATGTAGTCCTGTGTCTTATCTTTAAAAATTCATATAACTTTTGTATTATATTTCATAATATATTTGTGTTTGTTTTAATATCACATCAACACTTTAAATTACTTACTATTGACCAGAACTGATGGACTGGAAGAAACACCACGTTTATCTTGTGACTTCCACTAATCCCTGGTTTACTGCTCATAGGTTTCAAGCACTGGTTCAAATGCTCCTGGGGAGCACTGGTTAGAAGTCCAGGATGGGAGCACCGTGAGGATTGACTTAGGCTGGCACGGTTTCCAATGTAGAAGTTTTAGATCTAGTGACCAGGTCTTCGATTTCCTCATGTAGAACAGAGAGTCCTAATCAAAACCACCATGAGATATCACCTCACACCCATCAGCATGGCCACTATCAAAAGAACAGAAAATAACAAGTGTTGACGAGGATGTGGAAACGTTGGAAGCCTTGTGCGCTTTTGGTGGGAATATAAAAGGATGCAGCCACTATGAAGAGTATTGTGGAGGTTCCTCAAAAAACTAAAAATAGAACTACCATATGACCCAGCAATCTTATCTCTGGATTTATAGCCTAAAGAACTCAAAGCACGATCTTAAAGAGATAGTTACACACCTATGTTCATTGCAACATTATTCACGATAGCCAAGAGGTTGGAAACAGCCCAAATGTTCATCAACATATGAATGGAATAGAAAATGTAGTATATACATACAATGGAACATTATGTACCCTTTAAAAAGATGGAAATCCTATCACATGTACAACAGTGATGAACCTTGAAGATGTTATGCTAAGTGAAATAAGGCAGTCACAAAAGGACAAATGCTTATATGATACTACTTATGTGAAGTATCTAAAGTAGTCAAAATCATAGAAACAGAAAGAAAAAAGGTAGTTGCCAAGGGCCAGTGGGAGGTGGGAAGGCAGAATTAGGAAAGGCATAGAGTGTCAGTGTTGTAAGATAAAAAGTTCTAGAGATCTGTTGCGCAACAATATGAATTGTACTTCTGTACACTTAAACATGGTTAAGATGTCAGATTTAAGTTTTGTGTTTTTGACCACAATAAAAAAAAAATAGTGACCTTATTTAGGTGGTAGGGTTTTCTTTAGAAAAAGAGCAAGCAGAGATACCGGTCCACCACATGTCAAGGTGAAATATTCTTACAGCCCAAACCTGCTTTCCTTCCCCACTCCCTCCATCCCTGTGAAGCCAGAGGACGTGGTCTTCCTCCCTTTGAATGTTATAAGTATGTGCGTGCTGTCAACGGAGGCCGGGTTAATGACTTGTGGAAAATTTACTGCCAATTTTGCCATTTCTATTTTCCAATCTCCTTATTTTTGTTGATTAAATTCCAATCACTTTAAAAGATATTGAGGATGAATAAGAATGTATCAAATCTTCCAGAATTCTTTTGGGTAGTGTCAATGCGTTTATTAGGGACGTTAGGGAATAAATGGATGCGTGTGTGCGTGCAAACACACACACACACACACACACACACACACACACACACCCCGACACTCACATCCACTCTCCTATGCGCTTTCCACGGCCCCAGTCTCACCCCACAGCAAACATGATGAATTCACATCCTGAGGCGGGTGTACCACCAACAAAATCTGACCGGAGGAAACAATTTCAATTCAATCAGAGGCCTCCTGCGGTTGAAGTTTTCAAGGAGCGCTGCCAAAGCTCACTCTCTTGGCGGACAAACTGTGCAGACTTCGGGCCTGCTGGGAGGGTGAGGCGTTCCTTACTTTCAAAAGAGGGTCGATCCAAGATGTTTGTATTATTTCAATACTGTTTTTCCTATGGAGCCTGGGATTGGCGGGGTGGTGGTGGGGAGTTCTTTCCTTGTTCCTGATATTTTCCAGAGATCAAAATGAGAACACAATGCGCTAAGAGTAATCAGCAAGCCTTCAGAAGAATTGCATGTACTTTTGATTTCTATAAAACGCACACAACACTTCTGTAACCTTCCATTCTGTGCAGAGGTACACAACCCCGCCGGAGATTTAGATCCCAGCACAGATATCAGCTTCCGAATCCTTCCGCATTCTTAGCAGGTATCTTGGAGGATGTCAAGACCAGTAAGTGTTTTTCCTGAATCATTTGCATTTGGTTCTCTACCAGATGGGGTCCTGAGAAGTTAACAGCAGTCAATTGCTAATCTTCGGGAAGTTTCTGTGTGAGAGCGACAACGTGGACCCAGACACATTTATAAGACATTAGGCTCTATGCTTAGTACTAAGCATACAGAATTGTAACAGCAAGGTTCCAGTCTAGACAGGGAGATGGACAAGCAGAGAATGACAATACGGTGTGGTAAATGCCCGGAGAGGTGATGTCTGTTTGGCTTTTTTTGGTAGCAAGGAACAGAGTGCCACTTCAACATCTCATATAAGGACAAAAGGAATCACAGGGAGCCAGGAACAGTTTTACCTGTGGGCCTCTGGGAAGTTGGAACGCCGTGTGAAAAGGGGAAAGAGGTGCAGGATCCCAGGCAGCTTTCGTAATCACGTTACTCAGAGACACCTGTTGGGGTGACTCAGTTCCTCTCCACTTCTCCCACTTCTGTTCCATAATTTCATTTTACTCCTGTATCTTTTCCCTACCACGTGGCTCCTACTTATGCATCAGGGCTGCTTACTGATAACTTCCTCTGACTGCCTCAGGAGATCTGAATACCTCTTCTTTCAGCTTCTTCTCCCCTGATACCAAGTGCCCAATCTGGTGTTCCTTGTCTAATAAAATCACCTCATCTCTGTGGGGTACTGTTTTTATTCCAGCCCACATGTAGACCACCTATAGATCAAGTTTCCTTGATCCAAGGCTTCTGTGGTCCTGTCCACTGTGGCCAAGGGCTGAGCATCCCACATGATTAGCTTTGTGTGAGAGGCACATGGGGCAACGCCCTGTAGGGAGCTCCTGGGCAGGCAGTTGGAGGGGACTGTCATCAAAGCAATCACTGTGGACATGGGCATAAACCCACAGGGCTGTGGGCACACAGCGGAAGACAACCAATCAGCCAGTAGGCTCAGAAAAGGCTTCGCACAGGAGGCTACCTCTAAGCTGAACTTGAAGGGGGAGAGGAAGTTTCTCCAGAGGGAGCCCCTGGGGTGATGGGGATGGAGGTGGAATAACAGCCTCCTGGACAGAAGAAACTTTAAAGG